CAAATACATTTTTGTTCCATAACCTAATTTCTTTTATAGCTCTATCTTTTTCTTTTTAATTGTTGACCCTTGGATCCTATATCTCTTTGATTCCATGATCTTTCAATTATTTTTGACATATGCTTTGAGGTCCTATCTAGGATGATTTGTAAGAAAAATCAGCAAGGTAAGGAGATTTTGGGCTTTAAAGTTGCTAGGGGTGGTCCCACCATCCCACTCCTGTAGTTTGCGGATGATTGTTTAATTTTTGTAAAGCTAGCATAGATAATGTCCTAAGAATTGGAGATATTGTAGAAAAATATGCTGGAGCTTCAAGCCAAAAGCTGAATTTTAACAAGTCAACTTTATTTTTCTCAAAAAATATTCATATGAGGTTGCAAAAAGTACTTTCAAGAATACTCAAAAATTCCTACAGAAAAGAAAAAAAAAGAAAATTACTTTGGGTCTCCAATAGTTGGGGAAGAGACACAAAAGAAACCTTTAAGAAGGTTGAAGAGAATGTCATAAACAAACTTGGAAAAGAACTCTCTATCCCTAGCAGGTAGAGTCACTCTGTTGAAAACATCTATATTAATGATGCCCCAATTCATAATGAGAGTTTTCAAACTCCCTAAAATTGTGGTGGATAACTTCGAAAAAATGCAAAGAAAATTCCTTGGGAATAAAAATGAGAAAAAAATTCAATCTAGTGAACTGAGATACGATCTATAAGCACAAAAACAAGGGAGGATGCGGCCTAAGGAAACTTCAATGGCTTAATATGGTAAATCTTGCCAAATTGGGGTGGAAGATCCTTACTCAATCAGAAAACATTTGGGTGAGGATAATAAAAAATAAATATATAAAAAATGATAATTTCTAGCAAAATTATCCCAAAGAAGAACTGCTTTTGGGCATGGAGGAGCATTCTAGAGGCGAGAGATCTAAATTATATATAAAAGTGCATATGTAGAGTGAAAGTCTTTTTTTTTGGAATAAATTACCCTCTTTCTTTGTTTGAAAAAAGGGTATAAAAATCATTTTATTACAACTTTAATGCCAACCTTAATGGCTACTAAAATGCCATATTTGTCTATTAAGTCTGTTTCTAATTGTAAGGGTTGAAAATATAGTGTCAATTATTACTATCCACATCATTTAATCCCCTCTCATTAAGTCTTATATTTAAGGTATTAACTTTCATATTCTCTTATTAAATCCTATATTTAATTTATTTTTTACTAATGAGTGCTACTAATTAAATCTATGTTAATATTTTTAACAATATAAATCCATATATTTTAAAACTGACTCAAAACAAAACCATTTTTTTATCTAAGTGGTGGCTAAGCAATTAAACCATCCAATCAAATTAATCAACTTATGAAGTTATACTTAGGTAATAAAATTTTTAAAATATAAATAAATATAGAAAATTGATGTTAACATTTAATGTCATAAATAAATAATAAAAATTAATAAAATATAAACATTTAGAAATGAAAAAAATACATAAATTTTGCAAAAAAAAATTCAAGCACATGTATATTATATAATTATCATATTAAACAAAAAGTAAGCGTGACATATCAAAATTATTTTTACACAGAAATACAAAAATATTATAGAAAAAGTTGAACACATCTATAATTCTATATTTACACTAATATTAAAAATATGAATAAGACGGTGAAACTTTCTTTTGACTAAAATACTCATTTTTAAATTTAGTCCCTATTTAATTGTGAGGTTTAAATTGTAAATTGAATTACTACTTTTCACCTCATTCAATTTCTTCTATTTAAATCTTATATTTCTTTGATAAATGAATAAAAAAAAGATATACTAAAAAGATACAACATTACAAAAGAAGAATCTAGCCAAATAGGTAAGCCTGTCAATGATATTTGAAATTTCACAACTTGATCATATTATCATATATTTGGATGATGTGTTTATGCAATCAGATTTGGATTTTGCAATTTGCGTCTGTTTAATAATAAAAAATAAAAAATTTGATACATTATTACTATTATTATAATCATTTAGAATTATTACATGTAACGCACGTGCATGCTTATATCCTAAAAAGATGATTGGATGAAAATTTGGTAAATGAGAAATCTATTTGTTTTTAGAATGATATTTGGATAGAAAATTCCCCCCTATGGAATCTACCCACTTGACAAATGCAAATCTAAACCACATGATTAATGATTTTGGAAGCTATTCCCAATAATATATGGAAAAAAAAATCAAAACTATAAGATAGTATGAAACCAGACCCAAAAGACATCTTTTCCCTACAAAGTGAAGGAAGAGGATGAGGGAGGTTCAAACTACAGAAAGAAGAATGAATAATAAATGCTTTATACGTCTCCCTTATTCTAGTAAAAAAAAGGGCTTCTATGGGATAGGGGCAATTTTTTGCCTCAAATATCAATAAAAATAATACTTTTTATATAATGACTAAAATAAGATAACTTTTTTAAAAAATATCAAATAAGAGTAATAGCACTATTGCTCGTCTTCTTCCTCTACCTCTACCTCGGTATTCATGCGAACTGAAGTTGAAGAGGCTGACGTTTTCGTGTTTTAATGGGGTCGCAAGGAAAAATTAATGCTTGTAAACAACGGCTGATGCAACTCTTATTAGGAGGGATCCATGTTTCCAACTTTGTCTTTTAGCTTGTTGTATGGTTTGCAATACTTGATGTGTACCCGCATTTTTTCTTTTTTCCTGAGTGAGGACATCAATAGTTGGTTGGACTTAGCTAAAATCCACCCATTACATGTTTGCCAAATTGACAAACGGCACAATTGATGAAAAGATAAGTTGTTATGCGAAGATCGAGAGTCGAGACTTACTGGAGCTGCTGTCTCTGGCGCTAGAGGGAGTAGAGGCGGTCACTGCCAATGCAGAACTAGCAACATCTGAAGCAAAACGAGCCATCTCGGCTGACCCATCGGACAATGTGGGATTTTCCACCTTTATCCGAAATGCTATCAATGCGTCCATCTGTTTATTATTCAACATGTTCGCTTCCTTCATTACCTCCTCCACCTTATCCCTGTAGAAGATATTCACCTTGTTAAATTGTCATCGAAGTAGACGAGCAACAGTGGGAATTCGTCATCCCTCCCCTTATCCCTGTAGAAGATACCCAAGTAGAGCACTACGAATTAGATCATTAAAATTCTTCTTTGCACAGGGAATTGTTTCTTTGTTAGCGGAGGAAGACGAGCAAAAGTGTGAAATACCCTTATTTGATATTTTTTAAAAAAAGTTATTCTATTTTAGTTATTATATAAAAATTGTTATTTTTACTGATATTAAGGGCAAAAAGTTGCCCTTATCGACAAACCAAAAAAAACAGAAAATGATTGTAATCGTTTCTGGTCAAGTATCATTTTTTGGCTAATTACCTCACCATCCCGTTTGCTCCCAGGTGGCCGATGACTCAGGGGCTGAAGCGGAGTTCCCTGGCATAGTGCAACCCGACTGCTCCCGAGTTGGAAATGATCTACATCTTTGTAAACGGCGGGAACTGGTTGCTTGCAAGAACTGGGTCAAAGGACCCAGGGGTGTTTACCTGGCGGAGACACTCCGATGGCTAAGTTAGCACACAATAGTGAGCTGAAAATAATATTAGAGAATGAGAGCTAGAGAGCTAGAGAGCTAGAGAGCACCCTTTTCTTTTTCCTCTTCTCTCCTCATTTTCTCATTTTCTTCATCATCATTTTTCCTCCCTTCGCCCTTGGGGGGTGAGGTCATTATATACTGGAGTCCTCGCGGGTTTGGTGAAGCAGTTCCTGGATTCCCGCTGTGATGGGACCTATTTTCGTGTTAGGTGGGGGTAATGCCACTAATTGGTGAGGTTGTCCATTCCTGCCTGAATCGGGGAGTGGGTGAGCTAATACAGCCGTTACAAGTCATAATMCCGTGAAATGCGGGGTACGGTGGTGAGCTCCTCGGGGTTGTCATGCGGTGGTCAGTTTCTCTAGGAAGCGAGCTGCCTGTAAGTGCTGCATGGTGGCGAGCTGCATGTAAAGTGCCGGGCTACATGATGGTGAGCTGCCTGTAAGTGCTAGGCTATCTGTAAGTGCTAGGTGTCACGATATTATTGGAGGGCCAAATCCGCCCTCATCATTTAAAATGATGCAATGCAATCCGGCTGCTCCTAGTTGGAGATGACTTGGCTTCCAGTAGACGACGGAGTTGGCTAATCTGCACAGAGAGAATCAGAGAACCCAGGGGTGCTTACCCAGCAAGGTCGCTCCGATGCTTAAGTCAGTAATTTGCGAGCTGATGGTAGCTTAGAAAGCAAGAAAGCTAGTGAGCAGAGATTACGCGTACCTTTGCCCCTGGAGGGTTGGGGCCTTTATATATTGGAGTCCTCGTGGGTTTTTCGGAGTGGTTCCGGGATCCTTGCTACGATGAGCCCGTTTCCGCATTAACAGGAGATAACGCTACTAGTCGATAAGGCTTATCGCTTCCGCCCAAACCGGTCGGGGGAGATAAGGCTAGCGATTACGAGACGTGATCCCGTAAAGCATGGAATCTAGTGGCGAGATCTTCGGGGTTGTCATGCAGAGGTAGTGCCCTTTGGATCTGACCTGGTTCGAATGTCAAAGTGTCTTGGAACCGAGGTGGTCCTGATGCGATCGTTTCCCGAGGTGAACTTGTCCCGAGGTGGACTTACTCCGAGGTGGTTCGGTTATCCGAGCTCGGTCAGTTTGCAAACTTGATGTATCAGAGTGAGCTGTCATCCTATCAATTAGATCTATCCACGTGTCCCCCTATTTGGGCCAAATCTCCCTACATCAATACTAAAATATAATAAAATAATAAAAGAGATTATTAAATAATTCTGAATTCCCAAGATCCACATTATCCACGTTTAAATGGTGGTGCTCTACCGTTCTACTGACGGCTGGGCGTGGGCCTACTCAGGTAGAGTAGAACAATAAACCAAAACACAGTATAAATAGTGGAAGGAGGTAGTTTGTAGTTGGGCTTAGGCAGGTGGCATCTTGGGGCTTGGTTACCGGAACCGGGAACCCGTCCGAGACGAGACGAGACCGGTGTCGGAGCCTGCTACTGCTAGCCTGGGGTAACCGGGTAAGGCTTGGAGTTCGGATTTGTTTCTACTTTCTACCAGGCTGCAGTCGTTACAGAATATCCCTTCTCTTTCCTACAGTCACCCTTGGCCTTGAGTTGACCCTACTTCTAACTCAACCCAAATCCATTTTAAAACCAACAGGCAACAGAAACCAACCAATGGCGATGGCCCTATCCGGCTCTGCCCATCTCACGACGGGCTTTCACCACCACCTCCGGCGCGTCGAATTCCCATTCATTTCGCATCTTACTACAGCGAAAGCACCTAGGCGGATTGGACTTTCCTTCACCGTCTACGTCAGCAGCACCAAAACCATGCCAGGTGGCCAACACAGCAGCGATTCGTCGCTCGAGATAATCGGAGGGGCTCGCGACTCCCTTCTCCCCGTCTTCGAATCTTTGCAGCACCCGTACCATCCTTTCCCGTTGATTGGATGGAATCGGCACGTCGAGACAATCTTTGCTGCGTTCTTCCGTTCCCTCCCTGACGTCAGGTTCCGTCGGGAGTGTCTAAGAATGAAAGACAATGGTACTGTCGCCCTCGATTGGGTATCAGGCGATGACTGTCAGCTTCCAGCCGAATCTCCTGTTCTCATTTTACTGGTTTGTATTCATTAGTACACCATCGCAATTCGTTATGCCCTTTACTTATTTGTTCCCCTCGAGTTCCTGATCTAACTGCTTCTTGGCACTTTAATGTGTACTCTTCAGAGTTATGGACTATTTGGCATTGGTTGTTGCAGCCAGGTCTAACGGGAGGGAGCGGTGATACTTACGTTCGGCACATGCTCGTTCGAGCGAGGAATAAAGGGTGGCGTGTTGTGGTGTTTAATAGCCGTGGTTGTGGAGATAGCCCAGTCACCACACGTCAGGTATTAGGAAGTGGAAATTGTGGTGTTTGCAGATGTAATTGTTCTTCTTTTATTCTTTTATTCTTTATTCTTTTTTTTTTTCTAATGTTATGGGTACTTCAAATTTGTATTATGTTTCATTAGCGCTCAATTGAATGTAGATGCCCTAATTACTTTCAGTTTGATAATTAGAAGTCTCTCTTTTGCTGATCAAAAATGAAAAATCATAAGTCTATTTTTTTTATTAATTGTAATTATTTTAATTTTAATAATAGTTCTGACTTCCGAGCTTATTTACATTTATTGAGAGTTCAATTCAATCCTTATACACCGGTCAGTCTTTGTTTTATAGGACTGTAGGAGAATTCAATCCCTCTTATCAAAATTGCTCAAGTTGAAATTTAGTGCGAAAAAAAAAGAAAATTTCAAAACCAAACATGTCCGGACTTGAGCCTGGAGCTCCACTGGTTGACTTTGTGCACTGCATTAATGCAGTCTCAGGTTCCATTTCGGTTAACCCTCCAAAAATAACTCTTGAAAAATTATTCATTATACCCCATAGTAACAATGCTTTGTGTATCAAGTGTTTCTGCTTACAGCTTATGATTACTTAACTGGTATGCAGTTTTATTCAGCATCATTCACAGAAGATCTGCGTGAAGTGGTTAAACATGTAGGAACTCGTTACAGGAAAGCCAATTTATATGCAGCTGGTTGGTCTCTTGGAGCAAATATCCTTGTTCGATATTTGGGACAGGTAAGATCTTGCATTAATGCAGCACATCTATCAGAAGATGTTGGTTTACTTGCATCCTCCCTAGGCTTAGGGTTGCTACTATTTGGATATTTGGATGGGCACTTGGAGTTCATTTAAAGTAAATTTTGTTGGTGGCCCTCAGAGGAATATATGTCCTCTTAGCTTAATATAGACTTCCTGGCAGTTTAATATGAAACCTTGTTCCTTCCCCCCCGTTATGGTTTTTACATGAATTGCATTGAAAGTTATGAAAAGGCTTATGCTATTTTTTACATTGGTGTGTAACTAGAGTCTAATCTTATTGGCACTACATGCATTATTGGTGTAATATCATCAAATGACATAAATTTACATGGAATTTCATAGGTCTAAATAATTTTGTTTGCAAAATTTTCTGTCCTGCTGAAATTATGCAAGTAGTTACTCTCAATTCTATGGTATTGTTAACATAACAAGTTACTGAAATTCTTTTGGGAAACAGAAACCAAAAATTTTTGACAGGATATTATCATGTATTTCATAACTTGTTTCTAAAACCAAGGAGTCAAGGACTTCCCCGGAGATGTGTCAATAGCTTGAACCTAAGTTTAATAAAATGGAATTCCCTTTAAAATTTCTGTTCAGTTCTAAGCAGCTAAGTTTTATGGAGCAACACTTCTTGGCTATTGTTTTTTTTCTTTTTTTTTTTTTAATTTTCATTTTTTTTCCTTTCAGGAATTCCATACTTGTGCTTTATCTGGAGCAGTGTCCTTGTGTAATCCTTTCAATTTGGTCATTGCTGATGAGGATTTTCGCAAGGGCTTCAACATTGTTTATGACAAAGCACTAGCAAGATCTCTCCGCAAAATATTTGAGAAGTAAATCAGTGAGGATTTGATATTGTTGTAACTTGTTTCAACATATAATTGATGGGCTCTCTTTTAAATATTATCTGAAGAATGCTTTTTATTTCTGTGTCTTAGGCATTCTCTCCTTTTCGAAGATATGGGCAGTGAATATAATATCCAATTGGCTGCTAATGCTAAATCTGTCAAGGAGTTTGATGAGGGGTTAACACGAGGTTAGCATATCTGTTTCTAAGTAAATTTTATCTTGCTAAATGGCATCTCATCTAGGTTACCTTTTGCATGTTTTGCAGTTTCATTTGGTTTCATGTCAGCTGATGACTATTACTGTAATTCAAGCAGTTCAGATTCAATAAAGCATGTACAGACTCCCCTGTTATGCATCCAGGTAATCTTTATTGCATTGGTATATAATAGATATCTAAAATACAAATACTTTCTTATGAATATATTCACGCTTCTCCATTTTCCCTAATTTTGAGAATTTATTAATATTGTTAGTGTTGTTACTTTTGTTGTTATTAGGAAAAAAACGTTTGCTAATTGGGGCAAAGTAGGGAGTGTCACTACCTTGCTACTTAGAAGACAATACAGACCATCCATCAGATAGGGGACCCTTTGGATTGGGCATGTAGTCACTCCATCAGTACACTATCCATCAGATAGTGTTGTTGCTTTTGATGTTTTACTTTTTATTTTAATCATGACCCAAGGTCTTATCTTGTTGAAGCAGCAAGGGTGTTGAATCTAGACATTGCCAAATGAAATGAGTATGGGAAAAGGAACATATGGTACCCTTTTGGGATGCAAACTAGATTGACACTTGGAAGTTTCTTGGGTTGTTTAGCCTTTATTACTAATAGCTCAACTAGTAGAGTCACTCCTTTATTTATTATTTCAGGTGGGTTGGGATTATTTTGGAGGTAGATTGTTGATTTCAATTCTTCTAAGTTATATGTTTCTTTTCTGTTGTACCTATTTCCAGTTTTATTGGCATAAATAATCCTTCATGCACAACCTGTCTCATACCCTGCATGAGTTGCCATGAATTGCCTAGCCAAAGATTGTTGTTGAAAGCCTTATAAAACCAACACTTCGTGGACCTCTCTATTATAACTTGATGCTATATATCCAAATGATAGTAGTTTTGGTGAAGGGCTAGAATTAGAAAAAAGAGAAAAAGAAGATATTTGCAATTTAGATCACTTCTTGGGAGTATGGATGATTTTTCCTTGTCATGGGAATCACTGGCCCTCACTGGGTCTCATTTTACCAATTTTCATTCATTATATTAGTAAACTTATGGAATTAAATTTAAGAATTATAGAGAAGCAGCATAACCGCCAAATTTTTATCGTAGTAAACCATAAAAGCCTGCAATCTTTAAATAACTTTTGGAAGTTCTTGGCAACAAAAGGACATGCATAGACCATTCCTTCCCATTAATTTCCACTTTCCTGTACCAGTTGGAGTGGAGCTTTTCCTTGTTCTACTTGCCATTATATATCACCCTGAGGGTTAGTTCTCCCAATGTTTTGAAACACACCAAACTGGATGATTGAACCAATACTAGTGGGCTTTCCACTTCTTGAATATGAAATGATTAGGCTATAAAAAACTGTGGTTGAACTATGAGTTGAACCTTTTTTACCTAGTTCCCTATGTTTTCCTATGTATCTTATTTGTTGATTCTTTTTTTGATTTGTTTATGATTTCATAGTTAACAAGTTGAATCACCATTGGAAACAAAATCTTGGGGCCTTAGTAGTTCAATGGCCAGTCTGGTTTTCAAAACATTGAATTATCCAAATTACCAGTGTTGTTTTTCTGACCAATTTCACTTGTGATCTTGTAAGCATGATTGTCAAGAGGGCACCTAGTTCTTGGCTGGGCGCCTCACCTGAATGCCATGGATTATATGAAAAAGTCAATCATCTAGATGACTAGGCACCCACCTAGGCAAGAAAAAAAAATTACGAGATGAGTGCCTTATTGTAATATTATTGCTATGGCTACATCTTATGACTGTGTGTGTTAATACATCCTATGATATATTATGAATATTACTTATAATTTAAGGGTTTTACCATTAAAACATAAAAGATCCAAGGTTTTTAAGAAGAGGTCAAAGTGGGTTTTTTAATACTCTTATGTTAAATAGAACAAGTTTCTTTTTTTTTTTTTCCTTCTTTATTGCTTCACCTTCAATTTTTCCTTCTATTACTGGGCTACTAGGTGACTAGGCACTCCATTGTTGCCTAGAATTGCCTAGGCACCTTGACAACCATGTTGATAAGTTGTATCGAGTCTATAGATATTGTTTCCAGATATGTGGAAGTATTATTTAAAAGAAGAAAAAATTACCCAGGGATACCTGATTTCAAAGTTCATTGCGCTACCTCAAAGTTTCAAAATGATCATGACCATGTTGATAAGTTGTATTCAGTCTGTAGATATCCATTGTTTCTAGATATTTGGCAGTATTATTTAAAAGAAGGGAACATTACCAAGGGATGCCTGGTTTCAATGTTCCATTATGCTGCCTCAAAGTTTCAAAATGATCATGACCATTGTCCATTTTGAATTTCAAATCAAAACATGACAAAGTACCCTTGTTTTCCTTTGTCACATTGGCAATACTGATTTAAGAACAATCAATTTATTGATTATTTTCTTAAATAACAAGGATAACCCTCTTTTAGTATAGAAGTTATTAAATGTGATCACTTATACTACAAAATTTCCATCTTTTTAAATTTTTTACTTAACTTCTTCCCCATTCATGAGAAGGCTACTGATTTCCTCACCTAGGTTTTCCATTTGGATTATAATGTGCATAGATACTTCGTTAGACCAACCGAGTAGCTCCACCTAGAAACAACTAAGATGTATGCTTCCTACATGAGACCAATAAAGCTTCTAGGAGATTTAAGGAGGAGATTAGTTTGAGGCAAAACTCAAAGGTAAAATGGATTCAAGAGGGTGATAGGAACACAAGATTTTTTCATATTATGGCCAATGTTAGAAGAAGGGAAGAATTTTATTTCCAAGTTGGAGATAGGAGGTGAAGTCATTACTCAACTGGGAAAGATTACACAGGCCTTTGTGATTGGAATTCTGTGGACTGATGGTTTGTATTGGCCTAGTTTAATGAGAGACCAGAGGGTTTGGTTGGAAAGACCTTTTGAGGAGGAGGAGGTTAGGAAGGTAGTGTTTACCATGGATAAAGCCAAATCTCTAGGGCGAGATGGTTACCATGGCTTTTTACCAAGACTTTTGGGATGTCTTGAAAGATGACTTGTTGGCAGTCTTTAGTAAACTCTTTGAAAGGAGTGTAATTAATCCAGGATTGAGCTCCACCTTCATTGCCCTGATCCCTAAAAAGAGTGGAGCTGACTATCCCAAAGACTTCAAACCTATTAGCTCCCCTCTTTGGTGACTTCCAATCAAGGGGCTTTTGTGAAGTTGGCAAATCGCGAATCAGATCCTAATTGGCTAATTGCTAAAGAATGTATTGAGGATTTTAAGTGAATCAAATATAATATGCAAATTAGACTTGGAAAAAACCTACGATTTGGTTGATTGGACTTTTGTAATTGTGGCCTTGCGACATTGTGGGTTTGGAGAGAGATGGTGCAAATAGATATGGGGGTGTCTGAATACTTGTCATATTTAGTCTTAGTTAATGGTACAATGGTTGATTTCTTTCCAGCCAAACGAGGAATTAGACAAGGAGATCCCCTTTTTCCACTTTTTTTTTTTCACACTTATAGTAGATGTTTTGAGTAGAATTATTTTGAGGGTAGATTTGAGAGGGTTAGTACCAGGGTGGAGAGTGGGGAGAGAAGGGTTCCTATTATCCATTTACAATTTGTAGATGATACAATATTGTTTTGTGAAGGAGGTGATTTGGATTGGATTAATAATCTATAGCTTTCGGTGCAACTTTTTGAAAGAATGTCAAATTTAAAAATAAATTTTGAAAAAACTGTTTAGTTGAAGGAGAACGAGTGGTATTTCTTCAGCCATAAGGATAAGAAATATCCAATGGGGACCAAGACTAACAGGGCCACCATGGTCGGGTTTTGGAAGGTTGCCGGGAGAGACAAGGTAGTCTACGACAAGATGTGACATATTGGCATGAGGAAAACCCTAGTCTTTTGTAATCAAAATGGAGCAAGGGGGATTTGACAAAGTTTGCAGATATTTTAGATTGCAGTGTTGTGTCTTAGCCTTTAACCTCTCGGTTTACCACTAGGAGCAAACCCAAAGGAAGTAGGTTTTTGGAACCCAGTAATAGAGAAATTTTCTAGGAAGCTAGCTACCTGGAAGAAAGGATATTTCTCTCTTGGTGGTTGGATTACCTTGATCAGATCAACATTGGCTAACTTACCTGTTTATTACGTGTTAGTCTTTAAGATTCTAGCAACTGTTTGTAAGAAGATAGAGATTTCCTGAGGGAGACAGGGGAGGAAAAGAGAGATCGTAGGATAAGTTGGGAGGTAGTGTGTAAGGATAAAAAAGCAGGGGGATTGGGTTTAGGGAATGTATAGAGAAGGAACATAGCATTGTTAGGGAAGTGGCTTGGGAGATTGCCCCAAGATAGGGATAAGCTGTGGACCAAGGCAATAGTTAGCATTCATGGGCTCTTGGACAATGGATGGGATGCCAGTGTACTGTTTAGGGCAAATAGAACCTCTTCTTGGAAGGTTATCAATGCAATTTTACCTTTGTTTCTTCCTTTCATTAGGTATAATCTTTGTAATGGTAATACCATCAAATTCTGGGAAAATATCTGGTTGGAGGCCACCCCTCTAAAGGACCAATTTCTCTCTTTTTACGTTATCAAACCTTAGAAATAAGTCAATAACCCAATTTCCAAATTCCTTGTTTAATCTTCATCTTCAAACAATGGGGTCAGTTGGGACTAGGGTTTCCAGAGGGGTACCAGAGATTCAGAAATCCAGTGTGTGCTTAACCTTTTACAATTGTTGGAGGGAGTATTCCTTGAACCGTCTAGATTTGATAGCCGAATTTGGAATTGTACCTCTTTTTGGTTCTTTCTCTTGTGCATCCTTTTTGCTGCTTTTTGTTGGGAAGTTGCACATGGAAAGATTTATACCCTTGATTTGCTTCAAAGAAAGCGGCCAAGTTGGTGTTTATCCCCTTAGTGGTGTGTGTTATGCAAGGTTGATGGTGAGGTTAGTGGTGTGGACCTTATATTAATACAGTCATACTTTACCTTCTCTCAAAAAAAAAAAAAAAAAAAAGAGGTTAGTGGTGTGGACCTCCGATGGATGTGCAAAGCGTGTTTGCTACAACTACCTTTGGTTGGCCAAAGAAGAGAGGGAGGTTAATGTGGAGATGTATAAGGGCTGTTATTCTTTG